AAACAGGAGCTAGAACAAAGGCAATGAGGTGGCCAGTGAGACAGCTCAGTGGACTAAAGTGCCTGCGCAGTTCAATCCTCCGGCACCGCAAGCTGCACCAGCCCTGCCCCTGGGCAGGCTGAGCCGGACAGATTCCAGGCGTGGTGGCACACACTTGAAATCTCAGTGTTGGGGAGGCTGAAAACAGGAGGGTCCCTATGAGTTCAAGCTGCATAGTGAGACCCTGTACCAAATACATTTAAAAAAATAAATAAAGCTAGAGTGACTTATAGCAAACTATCAGACTCCATAAATAAAGGGGGCTAAAGCCAGTGGGTTACAATTGCTATTCTTTTAAAAATGTTTCTAACTTAGCTATTAGCTCAAATGCTCATGCTTTGATTATGCATGCCTTAATTTCTCAAAAAATTTGTTCTTTAGAAGATACTACAACTCAGGTAATCATATAGGTAAAACCTATAGCAAATATGCTAGATTTTTAGATTACCTTGTACTGGGATCCACCAGATTTTGTTTATAGAGACATATTAAGGACTTAACGTCTACCTCATACAGCCCAGGTGAGCTAAGCCTTCTTAGGGTTTCCTACCTCATTACAAGAAAAACTATCTTCACCTTCCTTGGGCAGGGCTGCCTAAAAGAGACCTTAAAAACAAAATTTATGTCTTGCTCAGTGGGCCCCAGATATCTGACACAAGCTACAGAAGTCAGAAGGGTTTGCAGAAATTAATTTGTCTGAGTTGAGGTATTTCATAGTAGAAAGGATATAGAATGGAATTATAGACAGAAAATGAGAATAGCGATACTAGCAGCCTACAGTAACGAAGGCCAGTTGGGAAACAGGGAACGAGTTACACTTCTCTGAATCCAGACAGAGAGAAAGGACATTTCAAGCAAAAATTGTCCAAGGCTGCTAGAGAGGAAAAAATGAAAGTGTTCATGATGGAGTCAGAGGAAGTTGCAGATTGATGAGGTCATGGGTCTCCCCCTCTCAGCCTGAAGGAACCCATGTTACCTGCCAATATAAGGAGAAAGCCTGTCAAACTTTTAATAGATGCTTATGCAGATGTGTCAGTAGTTACCCAGTCATGGCCCCACTTGCAAACTGGAGCGTACTTAGTGTTTTCCCTATGTCTTGTAATTCTTGTGCCCCCAGTAATAATAAGAATTGGCCAGTTTATTTGAAATAATACCCAATGGCCATGCAAGATTTAAAAAAAGGGGGGGATTAAACCCCACATTTAAGAGATATCTGCTAACGGACCTACAAAACGTTCTGAAGAGTCTTTTTATAACAAACTTTAAAAAGGTTCTTATCTTTCAGATCCTTCTGCTAATGTCTCAACAGCTGTTTAAAAGATATCAAATCAATGGTATATGAGATGTTGAGGCCCCCTGGACCTATTTTTATCATTTTTACGGGAAGACATTACTGTCTACTTGACACAAATCTTTGACTATATTCATAATTATCCTGTTGACGTGATTATTTGGTCCATGCATGTTTAATACTTTCTTTGGCTTTGTCTCCTCTAGACTTAAAGCTATTCCACCTACTCAAGATGAAAATGCCTGGTATCTGTTGAGGGCCTTTAGGCAGAAACTCTGGACAGTATCTCTGACTGCTGGTCAACAACTACTGATTCCTTTCAGCCTGAAGAAGCCAAAGCCATCATCGCCCATGGTTCCCTCACGGCAATTCAGGTTACTTACTTTAGAAGGGGAATGTTGTAGGCAGCTGAATTAGATAGAAATATTACAGGCAGACAGACAGAGTCAGTCCCTCAAGGAGACAATATGAAAGACAAGATGACTTTGCAACTTGGAAGAGACAGACACTCTTGTATGGGCCAGACCTCAAGGCAAAAAAGGAAACAAATACAGCTACATACTTCCCTAGGGATGAGTATCAGGGACTGACATTCTAAACAGGTATCAATCACCTTGAAAAAGCCCAAATGAGTCACTAACCCAACCCCCAGCAGGAAGAGACTCTGTCCCAGATTCATGCCCGCTTGCTACATGACTCACTTCCCCATTTGGTACTGGAGTTAAGCAATTTTACCTGAGCAATGGTGCTTGTAATCTCATTGGTTGACCATAGTTTTGTCCCACAAAACTATGTCCACCTAAGTGAGTTCCGCTGTTCTCCACTACCTTGGACCCACCTCACATATGGCTTTACTCTATAAAAGTCCCGGAAGACAGTATTAATAACTTTCCCAAACAGAAAGTACTAGCTGTATTCATAGGTATATTGAACCAAACCTTTAAAGAAGTCATAACATTTCTCTACAATCTCTTTCAGAAGATGGGGGAATAAATATTTCCTAAATCCTTCTATGAGGTCAGCGTTACTGTAATGCCAAAACTAGACAAAGGCATTATTAGAGAACAAAACCACAGTCAGTGAACAGAGATGCATGCCTGTAATTCCAGCACCTGGGAAAGCAAAGACAATCAGAAATTCAAACCCTAGCCAGGCTATGTCTTAACGCATGCGTGCGCACACACACACGAAATACAATGGAATAAGATCCTTCCACTAAATGAGCCTGGAACAAGTGGATGTACACAGGTAACTACGTGGGTCTAAACACAGACCTTACATCCCTCACATTTTTAAAAAACCTAAACTGTAACTCCTAGAAGGTAACAAGGAGAAAATCCAGGTGACTTTGTGTTTATAACTTTTTAAAAACTTTATTTAGTACAGGGTCTACAGGGTCTCACTACACAGACTGTAGTGATCCTCCTATTTTCAGCCTCCCACACGCTGCAATTACAGGTACACACCACCAAGCCCAGTCTCAATCACCAGCTCAGCGTGCCCTGGGGGCAGAGCCGGCACAGCACTGTTCACAACTTTTTAGACAACTCTGAAGGCATGACCCATCTAACAATAGATGTGCTAGACTTCAATAAAATCTAAAACTACTCTGCTCTGGGAAAGATACTACATTAAGAAAATAAGAAGATATGCCACAGCCTGAAAAAAATATTTGCAAAAAGTGTATGGTAAAGGATTTTTACCTTGTGTTATGCTTTCTGTCTAGATGTCTTCCCAAAACCTGATGTGGTCACAGGGTTTGTGCAGAGGTCACTGAACCTAGACAGTGCAGAGCTCGGATTAAGGCTTTGAGGCCTACACCCACCTCATGGCAGGCAGCCTTGCATACACTATAAGTAAAGAAAGAGGTCTCCCCCACACACACACCTGTTTTTGCTGCCTTCTGCCCGTCTTGAATTGCTCTCCTCCATGAAGCCTCCCTGCCTAGGAGCCAGCTGATTATGGACTGAAACCCCTACATACTGTGAGCTAAATCAACCTTTCCCCCTTAATTTTGTGTCTCAGCAACGAGAAAAATAACTAAGTCACCCTTGTACGTTTATATACAAAAGTCTTAAAACTCAATAAAATAAAAATGCACCATTCAAAATAGGAGCAAATGACCTGATAACCTCACTAAAGACATAATGACAGAGGCACGTGAAAAGGTGCCCCACAAATGTTATCAGGGAACTGCAATTTAAACTACCGTGAAATACTACTACACACTCACATATAAGAAAAGCTAGAACACTGACAACACCAAATGCTGGTGAGAGTGCAAAATGGAGCAGCCAACTTCAGAGGACAGTCTGGCAATTTCTTCTAAAACTGAACACATTCCTACCATATGCTGTGCTCCTTGATACTTACTGAAGTGATTTGAAAACTTATGCCTACACAAAAACTTGCATACAGATATTTATAGTAGCTTTATTCATAATTGCCCAAACTTGGAAGCAGCCAAGATGTCCTTCACAAGGTGAATGGAAAAATAAGCCGTGGTATATCTAGACAATGGAATATTATTCATTGCTAAAGCCAAATGCCCCAATAAGCCAGAAGACACAGAGAAACCTTAAGTACAAGAAGCCAATCTGAAATGGCTCCACACTATATGATTCCAACTGTATGACATTCTGGAAAAGGGAAAACCACAGACACAGCAGAAAGACCTCTGGTTCCCAAGAGTGACAGGAGGGAGGGATAGACAGGGGAACACTCAGGATTTTCAGGGCAGTGAATCTGCTCTGTGATACGATAATGATGGATCCATTTATCATGCCAGGCAAGCTCTTATTCCACTGAGCTATCTCCCCGGCCCTTACTTTCTTTCTCATTGCTGGAATAAAATACCCGACACCCACAAGTCAAAGGAGAAAAGGTATACTTTAGCTCACAGTTTATAGAGGTTTTAGTTTACAGTTAGCTGGCTCCAAAACAGGATGGCATGGCAAAGGGGCATGGCACAGGGGAAAGAGCTAGTGGCAAGACAGGCAGGAGGTAGCGAGCGGTCCTTTCCTTTTTTATCCTATCCAGATCTACTGATTGGTGCTATCCACACCCAGCATAGGTCTTCCCTCTTTAATAAGTTCATCATCCACATGAGAACTGTGATCAGCCAGTCCGTGGACTAATCTCGTATCACACGCCCCATAATCCCGTCACCCTCAAAAGTCCTACCCATGAGTACATGAAGCTCTGGGCAACATCTAGATACAAATCATAATATAACCCAAAGAACATATACCATTATGAATGAGCCCCAGTGTGAACTCCAAGTCATGACTGGGAGGCCATATGGGTCAGTGGTCTATTACAAATGTCCCTCTCTGTGCAGGATGTGAGAAGTGAGGGAGGCTGGATCGGTGGAGAGACAGGGCACATGGAAACCCTCCACAGCTGTGAACCTAAAACTGCTCTAAAACCCAAGTGTGTCTTTCATGAACGAACACATACATTCTATGTTTTGTTTTATTCTATTTTTGCTTTCAAAAAATCTGGGTCACCTCTCACTAAACTTTTAATTTTACCACCCCCAAATGGAGCTGACAAAAGAAAAAGCAAAGCAGTGCCCTAAGCCATGTCCAACTGGCTCTAGGAACGCCAGCTCCATGCCTTACACTCAGGCCACTCTCAGTGACGTGGGCACAGGGCCCTGGGATAGTACCTGGAGGGAGGGTCTCCATGCTCTGTGCTTTCTCATCTCCATTGTTGTGGTGAAGGTCTTTCTTTTTAATAGGGTCAATTTCATTCCAGTCCTCCTGGGGAAACAAACACACCAAGTGAGTCTGCTGGTTCTGAGCACGCCTTCAATCATCAGTTCCATGCATTCTGAGTCTTCTGATGCCAGCTCTGGGGACACGCAGTGGGCAGGGAAAGCCCATCCTAATGGCCCCACTGCAGAGTCATTAGGTGATGAAGGTGCAGGGTGTGGTCTTTCCACCATGTAAGGATTTCGGCAGAACCCCCAGGGCTCTGAGGGTAAGGAAGACAGCAATATAGATGGTCAGAGGCTCTGACACGCAGGTGGTTCCCTCAGATGGCTCATGGTGCCCCTGCCCCCACCCCGGGCCCCTCTGAACTCCACCAGAGGTGTTAACAGACCTTATTTAATCCCACAGACTATATAACAGGGGGAGGCCCCAGGAGTCGCAGCAGGACTTCCATGGAACAGAGCTGCAGCTAGGACCAGTGCAAAACTCGAGCAAGCGCTGCGTTCCTATGGAATTCATCCCACTCATCTGGGCAAACAATTTGCTCTAATTTATCAACATTAAATAACAGCTCCATGACCACAGAACTAAACGCATTTTCCACTCACTTGGGTCTGATTTCTGTGAGTAAAGTAAAAAAGGTTTCTATATATAATCCAAATCAGAAACACTGCATGGGCACAGCACTGCTCTCTGGTCATTTCCCGAGCAGGTGGCCCTGGCTGCTGTCCTCCTGAGGTTTCTACCAGCCGGCACCCACCACCCTCAAGACCAGTGTGGGCCATGAGCCTTACATGTTACTGACTCTCTGACACATAAAGCAGTATCCACAAGGGGAGGTCCTCAGGACCTGGGCCACAGGTTGCTCTGTTGACGCTCAAAAAGTACAACTAGAGGGCAGCAGCCCAGACCTAACTCAGATTGCCAGAAGGAAACACGAGGCAGAATCAGGGCCCCCAGGCTCCTGGCCCTGCTTTGGGCTTGAGGCCTCTTCTCAGGCCCTCAGCCACACAATGGCAAATGTATTGGAACACATCTGCATCCCCATTTTAAAGAGGTTCTGAAAAGATACGTGTAACTAGCTTTTGAGACCATCTGCTATAAATAAACTTCCAATTTACTAAGGACAGTGGTTTCACAGCAGCCCTGGTGAAAGGCAGCAGTGTGAGAATGCAACTGACCAACAGCTTCTCAGCAGCAGGACTCTGTGTGAAGGCTCAATCAGCAGGGTTAACGAGGCTGCCAGAGTCACACTGGTGAACTCTTAATTAAGCACTGATTTTTATTTTGTCACTTGCCTGTAGTATTTGTGGCTGATAATTTTCCCCCATAGGCATCTGGCATCCAACATATACTGTCTACTGAATCAAACTACTTAACCTTGTAGTGGAGTGAAACCAAAACCCAATCTTGCCCCTGGGGCTGTGACTCTATAATCAAGTCATTATCTCTGGCATTTACCAAATCAAGCTTTTCAGGTCAACTATCAGCTTCCCCAAAAGGCAACATTTTTTTTTCTTCCCACAAAGGGGGCCCTCCCTTTCTCCAGCCTCCCCAAGAGCCACACCCGCCACAAACCCATGCTGTGCACAAGACCAGGCAGGATTAGAAATGGTGTCCTGCAGGGGCACTGTTCAGCCAGCAGCAACCCTGGCATCTCATGGCTCCTGCCTTACAATGAGGACTCCAGATCACAGAGGTTAAACTACTTGTTTGGGGCGCTGAAGCTAGTCTCTGAGAAGTAATACGAATGGCTGCGGGGCAGGACCTGACAACGCTGACTATGGTGTAGACCACCAGGAGCCTTAACTTCGGGAGGTGGCACTGGGGCTCTGGGTACACACATCATTCTTGCTGGTGAGCAGAGATCAGACAGATGGGCGAGTGGACAGAGCACAGCCAGCCAGGAGGAGCCCACACTCGAGGGACTTGGGATGAAGGAGGTGCATCCTGGCTCCAGCCACACGTGGCCAGTGCTGTGGTTTCTGTAAGTTAACAGCTTCTTTGAAACTGCCTTGGCCCAGTCGGCCCAGTGCTCTCGGAAGCAGATGAGTCCACAGGCACCTGGAGAGCTTTCAGAGTCGCTGTGTGCAAGTGTGTGGTATTCCAGAGGATCCCAGGCCCTAGGCAGGCCCCAGAGCTGTCCCACATTTCTCCTGCTTCCCCAGAGCACAAAATGTAGTTGCTCAAAAACAAGTGCAGCTGAAAAGAGTCCTTGTCCTGCTTACTCCGCTCTCCCTGGATCTGCCCACTTCCCAGGGGAAGGTGTTTCCACAGCCCTCCCACAGGCACAGGCATCAGCTCTGCCTAAAAATGGCAAAGTACCAGATGCAAATGTACATGAGAGAAGGTGCTCACACCCAGGATCTACTGCCATCCAGGATGGGCACCAACAGCTGAGTGCTTTCTCCTTTTAGGAGGAAAATGACACATTGACAGATAGTTCTTCTTTGCTGTGACAAGTGTGAACTGGCGGAGATTAGAAAAGGACTGTGTGGTTTACACTGGATCAGAAGCTGCAGTGAATTCAAAGTCTGTAATCCTGTAAACCTGCTCTGGTTCCCAGGACCTGGGCCAGGCTCTGTTCTGTCTCCTGGCCTTGAAAGCAGAGTGGGGGTGGGGTGGGGGAAGGATATGACACCACAGGGAGATTAGATGCATCAGAAACATGTGCAGCAAAGAGGGCCAGGAGTTCTCACAGAATGGTGAGCTCTGTTGGGGAGACTGTGCCAGAGGTCTGGGATTTGCTGCCAGCCAAATCAAGGCGCATCACGTGGAGGAGGCTGTTGGCTGTGTGCCTTTACCACATGAACCGGAGTGCCGGCCACATCCATGTGCCACTCCCAGAAAGAGCCAGATGGCCTGAACTAGGGCACTGGGATTCACTCCCAGACAATGAGAAGTTGAGCTTCCCTCCTCCCACTAACTAACCACCCTGGTAGTTATGGTTATCAGGCATCTGTACAGGATCCTGTCCACTCTTCTTACGTGGTACACAGAATAAGCAGTCTAAGCCAGAATTAAGGCCCTGTGTGAAACCCAGGGTATGAACTAGCAGCTCTTCTCACCATCACGATTAGATGGCACAGGTGCCACATGCCCTGTCTCCAAGCACATATGATGCCAAAGACATTTTAAAGAAATTATCTTTTTTTTTTTTTTTTTTTTGCGGAACTGGGGATTGAACTCAGGCACTTTCAAGAGCTTATTCTACTGAGCTATCTCCCCTGCCTTTGATATTATCTTCAGAAACAGCAGATGTAGTAGGTCATTTTACCAAAAATCATTATTAAAAGAACATCCTTCATTACAATTCCACCTACAATTGTGTCTGTTCCAAAATAAGGATGAACAGAAAGTGAGCATGACTACTGCCAGAGGCGTCGAGAGACTGAGAAACCCCCCAACACAGGGGCTGTCCCACACAGCAGACAGGGTGGCACACAAGAGCAAGGCGACACAGAGGGTCTGGCACGACCTAGTCACTGTCCCTCCCACCACCTTCTCCTCACCCAGTCCCCATGCCCAGCGCCCCCTGAAGTGGAACTTGACTCTACCTTTGAGAAGAGGGCCATCAAAGAACTGATGTGTAGATGACCTAAAGCCACTACATTTACCAATGCCATAAAACGCTACACTAGCAGACTGTCCAGATCGCCCTCGGCAGGTGGGGTGCTGCTCTACTGGAAACCCATGCACAGAGCCCAAACCTGAGTCACAGGGCCAGTTTTTCCCATGTTGACTCCTCTCCGAGTCTGACGTAAAGACAATGACCACCTGTGCTAACATGTCTGGATCACAAAGCAACACACAAAAACATGCTTAAACACACAATCCAGGTGAAAAACACAGAGCAAACACCACATATGCTATTAAATGGCCAAGGCTGCCTTCACACAATTTAAGTGGCTAACATATTTTTTAGCAGAGATATAAAAATATTACTATGGAAGCAAAAAGAAAATAGGCCACTTTTTAAGTCAGCCCTGCTGAAATACATTCTGTCACTGTTAAATTATTTCAGCTACTAGCCCATATGCTCAGACACAGATTAGAAGGAGAAACCAAAAATAACCGAGAGTGAAAATCTGATTCCACTCTCATCAACTGTCTACCTTTTGCTGTTGGCTAATGACTGGGGAGTGACTGCCACCACAGCTAATCCATATAGCAGCACTTTAAAAAGTCAGACTGCAGGTGCAGGGGCCCGGGGTTCAATCCCCTGGCCTGCTGCGCCAGCCCTGCCTCCGGGGTGCGCTGAGACGGCAATTGAGACTGGGCGTGGTGGCATGTGCCTATAATCCCAGCTCTTGGGAGACTGTAAATAGACAGATCACTACAAGTCCAATTGAGTAGTGAGATCCTGAACACCCTGTAGACCCTTCCCTAAAATACAAAGAAAAAAAAAAAAAAGGTTGGCAGATAGGGTAGAGAGGTGATAAAACAGGTTTCCCTCAAAAGGAGATACTCACTGATGAACTCATCAAAACAGGGTTCACTCAAAAGGATTTAAGGCACATCAGCAGGAAGCTGAGAACAAGAACTCAGTGGCCAGCCACAGTCACCCCCAAGGGGTCCATGGAGCCTCTGGAGGACCACTGGCAGTGCCCTGCTCCTCAGACCACGTGCTAAGGAGGTGGGGAAGACACCTACAGGGCCTCTCTGAGAGGCTATCCACTGCCACACTGCCACCAGCCTAAAGTCAACCAACAGATGGAAAAAGGGTCCCAGGCTGCCGAGGAGGCCCTGCAGCTGGGCACTGCAGGTCACCCGGAAGGACTGCAAGTGCCTCTCAAGACCACTGGCCCATCCTTTACACATAGGGTCTCTAACACAGAGAGGAGACTAGGTCTTGCTTCTAAATGAAGGATTCCACTGAAAACAATGACTTAGCTGAGAAGGAAGAGTGGTACTTCCCTCCTTAACACCATGGGTATAGGAAGGGAACACACCTTAGCGGCCACAGATGTACTTCACGGATCCTTCAAACTGCTCTAAAGCCTTGGTTGATATCACAGTGGTGGGAAAGGCAGGAGTGACCCCTCCCA